AATATAACACGATAAACACGACAAACACGAAAACACGATAAAGAACTGCTAAATCGTGTCAATTTCGTGTTGAATTTCGAAAACGACACGACACGACATCGTGTTTTTTATGGCTAACACGAACACGAATTCAAATTTTAGTTTCGTCCCAATTTCGTTTCGTGTCATGTATTTTTGTCGTGTCGTGTCATAAATTGTCACCCCTATTAGCACCTCCCTTAGCGCATGCTAGGGGCGGTGTTTGGCTTGTGCTAGCGATGCTAGTGAGGGTTTGAGCGACCCCCGCTCCCACCGGTCTAACTAGGCGAATATTTGTAATAATACGGAATCTAATAAAGTATTTTATTGTCATTAATTATAAAATAATAATTTTACTATTAAGTTAATATAAAATATTTAAATTGAATAATATAACAGGTTATAAGTTGTATAAGTTTCAAATCAATATTGTTTAAAAAATATAAATTTTGTTATAAAATATGAAATCTATTATTTATTATCTATTATCTATTATAAAAGAAGTCATTTTACTATCATATATTCATTTGAAACCCCGACTTTTCAATTACTTTTTAAATTCATACATTAAATCTATTATTATTGTAATTTCAATATTAATTATTTATGTTTAATATAACATACTTAATTTGTTAATTTATTAGAGGTTAAATTCAAACATAAATTTGATATACATAATTTGAATTTAAAATCTTTACTTTATTTTTTTAAAAATCATTTTTTCTTCAAAAAACATTGTTTAAAATTAATTAAAAATATTAACAGTATAAATATAATGTTAAATACAAAACATGCATCAAAAGATAGTTTTAAAATTATTTAAAAATAATAAAGGTTTAACTAAAATGTTATTACATCGAAATTCCAAATTCACACATAACATATAAATATATGTTATTGAAATAATATCATCATAAAATATATCTATCTAATTTGAGTTTATTTTTATATTCATGCACAACTTACGAGTAACGGCTATTAAAATGATGTGATTTTATTATTTATATATGCTATCATTTATTTAAAGAACTTAGAATGTTTTATAATAAATTAGTGTAAAAATTATTAATTTAAAGTTACTAATAATGATATCTTTATTTTAACAATTTATATTTATCAATATTTTTAATTATATCTACACAACTCATGACATATCGCTTAGTTCATCAATATATTAAACCAAAAAACTAATGTCAAATTTATTATTAATTTTCCATTAACATCTTTTAAGTTAATATATACATAATTTATTTTGCTATGTTTTTGTATCCTCTATATTGTTCATATTTCAAAAATATAAGTATCAGTTATATTCTAATATATCTATAAGGGTTATATGGAAAAATCTATTCATATACTTAAATTATATTCTAATATATTTATAAGGGTTATGTGGAAAAATCTATTCTATACTTAAATTATATTCTAATATATTTATAAGGGTTATATGGAAAAATATATTCATATACTTAAATTGTATCGGGAAATAATCATTTGTTACAAAATTACATATATAACCTTTAAACCTGAGTATAGTAAACTACAAAAAATCAAAATTATTATTAATTATTTTCATTAACATCTTCGTAAGTTAATATATACACAATTTATATTATGACATTTTTATGGGAGTTATAAAGGAAAAACAATTTGAATACTTATTTCATATTGGTATGCCACCATATATCAAAATTATAACCATTCATTAAGATGATTGTTTTAAGTTGTAACGACATTGTTAAATGTAAAAGCTGTAAACAAAACATAAACTAATGTGAACAACAAAACGACTTAGTGAAATTTTAGTCTCTATTTTTAAATTCCTTCATCCAGAGAAATTCATCATATTTCATGCCAATCATTGTGGTAGCATCTCCCTACAAAATACAAAACATATACGATTAGCCATTCCAAAATATATATGAACAAACACAAATGTACACAAATATTTTATAGGAAACTAAGTGAATTTGTAAATAACCTAACAATCCAAAATAGGCATGAAAAATACAAATAAACCTTTTTGCTTTACGAACCCAAAAACTTAGCTTCTAGTGTGTCATCGACCTTAAAATTTTTGACCAATGTAGAAGATAGCAGTGAAAAGGCAACATCCCAAAAATTCAAAGTAAAATTTTCATTTTTAAAACAATAAGTCATACAAATAAGTTGTTCCAAAACCAATCAAAGTGATTACATCATGTAAACATCAGAGTATAAATCATAAGAAGTCAATGCGGAAAAATTTGGGGGATGCAGTGCAATCACGTCGGGCCATTCCCTTTAGAACCAAAAGTACCTAAAACCAAAACCATAAAACCGTAAGCACAAAGCTTAGTGAGTTCCCCAAAATACCACATATCATACATACAATAGAGATTGTTATGTGTCATCCATAGTCTTACAATTGCCATTTTTCCATGAGCCGTATCATGGTCTTTACTTGCCAAGTCGGGGGCCAAAACTCAGGTCTTACAAACAAGTGCCAAGAGCCACCTCCTAGTCTTCCATGCAAGTATCAAAAAGACAACTAGCATTCTACATATAACTACTAAGGTCCAGACCCTGGTCTTGCATACAAATTGTCGGGAGCCATATACAGGTCTTTCATGCAATTGCCAGGTGCCACCACCTAGTCTTTCTACATAACATAATGCAGTGTGTCGACATTGGTGTCTTTGACCACTATGTATAGTGAGGAGACTCACCTGAATCATAAATTCAACTAAAACCTAGCTCAATGTCGCACCAACCACAACTAACAGCTCTCACTAGGGATGAGAGTGGGTCCAAACCCAGACCGGTAGACTCGGACCCGGAAAACCTGAGAACCGGTTAACGAGATTTTGTAGGACCAAAAATTGGACCGGTATATAGGAACCGGTTCCGGTTCGGTTCCGGGTAAGGTACCGAGTAAAGTGGGTCTAGAACCGGAAAACCCGGGAAAACCGGAATTTTTTGGTAATTACTGAGTGGTTGAACTTTGAAAATTTTCAACTTTGATATCCAAACTTCGGGGGACTGTAAGTCATTGAATATTAAACCAAAAATGATAAAATTATAGTCTAAAATCATGTACAAACTATAAACTACACGTTGCAAAAAACCTCATGATAATTCGACTTCAAACGAATTAGATATGCATGTTTTAAAATTTCATAGAATACAAAAATAAAGTTGAAAAGAAATCGCAGCTTTGATATCCCGACTTTGGTAGACTATAAATCAATGAATATGAAACGAAAAATGACAAAATTATAGTCTAAAACCATGTACAAACTCTGTACTACACTTTGGAAAAAAAACTCATGCTATTCCGACTTCAAAAGAATTAGATATGCATGTTTTAAAACTATCACAAAATACAAAAAAAGCTGAAAAACATAAAATTTCCAACTTTGGTATCCCGACTTTGAGAGACTATAAGTCAATGACTATAAACCCAAAAATGATAAAACTATAGTCTAAAGTCATGTAAAAATTGTAAGCTACACTCTGGAAAAAACATCATGTCAATCCGACTTGAAACGAATGAGATATGCATGTTTTAAAACTATCACAAAATACAAAAAAACTGAAAAACATAAACTTCCAGCTTTGATATCCCGACTTTGAGAG